GAATATTAAAATAGAAACACTAAATCTGTTAGAAGACAAATTGGGTAAAAATCTTGAAGACAGAGGGGTAGGTAGAGAATTCATGAAAAGGAATCAAGCTGCACAGGAAATACTTCCCAGAATCAATAGCGGCTTATTAAAAAGTTTCTTCATGTCAAAAGAAATCTCCAGCATAGTGAAAAGAAAATCCACAAACTGGGAAAAAATCTTTGTGAACTGTCCCTCACACAAAGGACTTCTGTCTAAAATATACAAAGAATTAAAAAAAAGTCAGACCCTGAAATTCAAAGACCCAATCAAAAAAATGGGCATCTGAGATGAATACACAGTTCTCAGTTGAAGAAATACAAATGGCAAATAAATACATGAAAAAATGTTCATCATCATTACTCATTAGAGAAATGCAAATTAAAACCACACTGAGATTCCATCTCACTCCAGAAAGAATGGCCAGGATCAAGAAAACTACCAACAACAAATGCTGGAGAGGCTGTGGGGAAAAAGGAACTCTCCTACACTGTTGGTGGGAGTGTAGACTGGTGCAACCATTGTGGAGGTCAGTCTGGAGATTTCTCAAAAAACTGGGATTGGAAGTCCCATTTGTTCCACCTATTCCACTTCTAGGCATATTCCCAGAAGTACTAAAAACTTCATAGCACAGTGATTTATGTGCACCCATGTTTATAGCAGCACAATTTGTAATAGCCAGATCTTGAAAACACATACATGAGGAATGGATAAAAAAGATGTGGTATGTTTATACAATGGAATACTACCAAGCTATAAAGAATGATCACATTGAGATATTTATAAATAAATGGACACAACTTGAGACCATGCTCATAAGCAAAATAAATCTAATTCACATGTATAAATACCGTATAATCTCCCTAGTATAAGAAATGGTAAAAGTACGTAAGAGTTTATGGTAATCATGATTCCCCATTACATTGCCTGGACACCTTATAATGTTTTTATTCATTAGTTGGAATGGTTTTATCCTGGTTTGATTTTATTATCTGTGATAGTATGAACTACTATTTTGAAGAAAACAAGACATTATAATAACTAGTACTGATTTAATATCATCTTACTCTGAAGTCCTACCATGCTTTTGTTCTTCTGTTTCCACTGGTTCTATCATATTGTATCTTATTGGATATTATTATGTGTGATAGTATAAACAAATTTTCTATGAGATAATACGGTAGCCATTGTTCATTCTCTGTTATTTGGTTCTGAATTCCCTGTAATACTCTCATCCTCTTGAATGGCTTTATACTCTTTTGTTATGTTTGATACTCTTGTATATGAAGTTATGCTCAACTATTTCAAAGAAAGAGACATTATGGTAGTTACTGTTAATTATAGGTGTTTTTTGGTGAAATACTGTGTTGCTTACATTGTTCTGATCTGATCGGGTTTTTATGTCTTCTTTTGTCTTAATCTTTTTAAAATAAAATTTTAAAAAATTGAGCCTCTCAGCCTGGGACACAAGGTTTGTAACCTGGGGGCCAGAGCACATTGTGTTCCAAGGTCTCCAATGCTACAGGTAATGCAGACAGTTATTTTGCAAAGCTGCCCCTTCCCTCTGTGTTTTCTTTATATGGCTTGACTACAGACATATACATTCAGCAGGCTTTACTTAATACAGAACACAATGGGAAGGAATAGAAATCTTATAATCCTACCCAGGAGATAACCATGTTAACGAGGGTGGATTTCCTCTATTCAACACTGAGGTTGGTCTACAGTAGGACATAACACAGATACCCGCTCCACACTCCTGAACTGACTGCATTTCTGGCCAGGGTCCTGATTGTCTACAAAAGAGGGTATGTGGCCAGGACACCCAGGCTTGTCCACATCCCTTTTGAAAAGGAAAAACCTGCTCAGGTTGTGAACATGGACTAAGGGATTACAGTGTCTGGATCATCCCTTCTCACTTTGAGACTTGTGCTGCCCAGAAGATAGTGAAAAGACCAGAAGCAGCAGCCTCAAAGCTTATTTGTCTAATTTGTCTCTTTCTATCTCAAAACCCCTAACACCTGAAGTTACAGTACCCATGTGATGACACCAATCTACCACCACAGAGATAGAAGCAGGAGGCAGAAGCAAAGATGCTGGTCCCAAGATCAGCAGCCACATGCCCAGCCTCTCAGCCTTTGATGTGCACTGCAATGGTGGAGTGGGGGTGCTAGGAGCTACTCTGAGCCTGGAGGAGTCAGGAATTGACAAGGAGCCTCCATTCCTAGCTTCCAAGGCCCAAGGACCAAGTCACTCACCATCAGTGGACAATAAAATGTCTTTAAACTTGACCAAGATAGTAGAGACCACTTTCCTAGTAGTCAGGGAGAGGAATGGGCTGGGATCCAGAGTCCCCAGGCTAACTCTGCCACAGCTGACATTGTAACTGGATCCTTCTGTAGAAGGGGCTGCCATATGCATTCTCCCAGCTTCAGTGGCAGTACTGGCCTGCACAACTCCACTTCCTGGTGGTGTTAAATTTGCTCTGGAGAAACAAAGAACGAGATTGTTCTGTTTAAGAACCACTGCACAAAACCTGGGCTGCCCACTCTTGAGACCTCCCATGGACTGCCACATGTCTTTCTTGGCCAGCATTGATACTTTTCCATTCATAAACTGTGCCATCTAGTCATGGTGACTAGACGTTCCAGCACTTCACAAGGTTGACTGTTCTCCTCTTACCAAGGATTTTCACGTCTGTTGCATTATTTTAAAAGCTAGGAAAAATGTGGATTGTCAATCTACAAGCTTGAGATTCCAAAGTTCATTGCTATTTCCATTTGAGAGACTGATGACCCAATGGTTATATTCTCTAGGGTTTATGCTTCATTATCAAGGTTTTTTCTTTGTTTTGAGACACGCCTCATAGTCTAGGATCAAGCAATACTCCAATCTCAGCCTACCATGTAGTTGGGACTACCGGCATGTACCACCACACCCAACTTTAGTTACTAGTTCTAATGGATTCTTTGAAGCCATGACTTGAGGAAGATTAGACTATACCTGTTCCTATTTTCTTTATCACCCTCCAATGAGGCCTTCAGGGCTCCTGTGATACCATGGCTACACGGAGAGAACTTGTAGAGTTCAATTTCAATCCTGCTACTGGACTGTGAAAAAGCTTTTCCACCCGAAGGCTCTATATCCTATGGTTTGTCAACACACAACTCTACTATGAACTTGTGGCCTTGAAAAACCCTATTTGTCTCAGTGACTTTCTCTTCTGCTCCTCATATCAATCACTACTTGAGGGCAACAAGCGATTAAATTCTAGGCATAGTCCCTCTGCAATATCTCTGTGCCCATGGGACCTCATTTGAATGTAGTTTTGATTGATGGAGAAACCAGGTGAGCACATAAGCCTTAAGTCACACTCTGAAACACAAAATTCAAGAATTTGTCTCATTCCCAATCAGGCTGCCCCACAGGCCAACCTGAAGCTGCTTGAAAGTCATTGCCTCCCTCCCTTCCTTGGAAGCTCATAGTTGGTCCCCAACTCTATCCTCATCTGGGTCACAGCTCAGCTTTTTCCATGCTCCTGAGCCTTTCCTTTCCACAAAATTGGGTTCTCCTAGAGTGCACAGCTTGCAGAAGACAGCAGCCAACAACTCTCCACTAGTTCACGGGACCACACTCAGTTTAGAAAACTCCCCTGAGAAAGCCAGCACCTCTTCCCCGGCTGCTTGCCAAGTGTGCACTTCTTGGTATTTTTGTAACTTTACATGTATACTTGGGATCCTACATATCTGGCCCTCTGACCAGTACTCTGACAAATCTCTTATTTCTGTTAAAGCCAGGGATTATAACTCCAAGCCTTTGTGGCTACTGTCCCTGGACTAAATTCTTAGATGTAACAGCACATAGCAAAATAAAATGAAATTTTAAATTTTGTGGAATGCAATTCTGCACTCTGTGTTAAAGCTTTAGCAATATGTGTGTCTTTTACAGCCTAATGATTCTATTTTTAGGAGTCGTTTCTAAAGAATCAGAAATACATGAATTCAAGAAACAACATACTATCTTAAAATAGTCAATAAAAATAGGATGATTATGTTATACCTATATTCATATATGCACCTTCTAAAAATCATGTTTTCTAAGAGCTCTTGATGAAAATTTTCATTATATAAAAGCAGGTTACAAAATTGGATAAGTAGCATGATCACAACTTCATAAAATATGTATATATATAGAAAATTGATATAAAATACACCTAAAGCTTACTAGAATTGACTATGTGATTCAAGTGATTGACTTTTTCTCTCACTTCCTTGTATTCTCCAGATTTCTTTTGCAATTAATCTCTGGTAAATTTACAATTATTTAAAATCTAAATTATAAAAATTCCTATCACTGTTCATAATAGTTTTCCAAACCCGTGTGTCTTCCCATCCTAACGTCCTCACAAACCCCTCAAGGGCAGGCTGTATCTCTAGTTTCTTCCCCTTCTTGTAAAGGCCTCTCCCTTAAGTCCTCTGTTGATGTCACTATTAACAGAGGCCAAACTTGTTCTCTTTTTTCTACTTCCTTTCTTTAAAAGGTCTCCCTTGTCATTAGAACAGTCTAGAGGTGTTGCTGAGCCTCTTTTGTACCTTTTCATTCCGTGAGTGCTCGACTGCACTTAGCAGCTCACATCCCTGCAGGCTCCTGTGCTAGACTGAGATCCGACAGAGCGCGGGCAGGTGATGCCCTGTGAGACGACATGAGATCATTCTTCTCCTAAATAACTACCTGAGAGACGGCAAAAGTCAGCTCTCGTCTTGGACTCCCCGGTGGGTAAACAAACCACGAACCCTGGCTAGGTCAGCTTCCCTTCCCAGGAGCTCGCGCCCAGCTCCCGGCCGCGGGTGCGCTGGTCCTCCGGGCCGGCCTGCGGAGGCGGGGCGCTCGCGGCGGAGGCGGGGCCTGGGCGCGGAGGTGAGAGGCGGGGCGCGGGGCGCGGGGCGCGGGGTGGGGCGTCGCACGTCAGCGTCCTCCGCGCTCCTCCCGCGCGCGGCCCCTGGAGTTCCAGAGGCGCGAGGTCAGCCCAGCTCCGGCCCGCCGCACAGCGCGCAGCCCCTCGTCGGAGCAAGTGCGGGCCGGAGCCGGGAGGGCGGCGAGGGACGTGTCCCTCCAGGTCCTGCCTGTGGTCCCTGAGCAGCCGGGGCGACGGCGAGGCTCAGCGGGGCCGAAACCATGAATCGGAGTTTTCATAAGTCTCAGACCCTGCGCTTCTATGACTGCGGCGCGGTGGAAGTCAAGAGCAAAGTAAGCTCCTCTCGAGGCCCGCCCCGGCGGTCTGCACCTCCTCCCTGGCAAATGAATTGGGTGCCCAGCGGGTAACTGGAACGGTGTGGGAGGCAACCGGCGCCGGCTGCAACTTTCGAGCTCGGCGCTGCGCGCTACTGCTTGGGGTCCGTGAGATGTGCACGCGGGGTCCCAACCATTCTTCTCGCCCCTTGTGCAGACACAAAGCCCCGCACGCTGGGGAGGTCCTGTCGGGGCCGCGGACCACCAGACAGTCGGTGCAGGCTGGGAACTCGCTCCCTGAGACCCGCTCTTTTGTTCCACGAGCGACCGGCGACCCCGGCACGCCATACGTTGGAGGGGAGGGCGGCGTTTCCGGGGCGAACTGGGGGCTGGAGGCTGCTCGGATTCCGGGCTGTGGAGGGGAGTCTGGAGGCCCCGGCTGGAGAAGGGCCCTGGCAGCGCCGCCTCCTTGCTTGTGAAGACATTACCGGTAAGGAAGAGGCTGGCCGCCAGCTCCCGGAGCTGGGCCCCAATCTGGACCCCCAGCCCCCAAACAGGCGCAAGGTAGCAGATCCCAGACCGGGCGCACCCCCCACCAAGGCCCAGGTCTACTCTAGCCCCTACCCCTGAACGTGCTCCCTACCCAGGCACCTCACCGGTTCAGACTCCTAGGCCTCCAGCCCGTCCCCAGCCTGGGCATCCCCTCTACAGGCGCCTCCCTCCACCCCCACTCCCACCCAGACTGAGATCCGCTGCGGGGCGCATCGGGGAGCGAGACTCAGACCCATAGAAGTGCTGGGGCTCCTCCTGCTGCCTGCACCTGGCCGAGCGTGCCTGAACTTGCCAGTTGCCTTGCGTGTCTGGGTAATTGGCTGATAGGATCTGGCGCTTCTGCTCTTTGCGGGGGCGGCTCCTTTGGAGACTCCTTTGTCTAGGAGGGCCTCAGTGGTGGGCTCTTGGGCCCTGGAGGAGCTGCAGTGGTCTGGGCCTCCGGAGGGCGAGGTGGGGGTGTGTGAGGGTGAGTAGGCGGTTGGTCCTGTGGGAGCCTTTTGCAGAATACTGACTGGAAAGCTGGTGGCGTCCATGGCCTTTCCGGCTGTATCCCTGTACCCCATTAAACAAGAGAGACCTGCCAGAGGGATGGGAAAGGGGTCAGAGTTAGCCCCTCAGCTTTGTACTCACTCAGGGGGCTAGCAGAAGCGCCACATGCTCCCAGTCAGTGGTGAGGTAAGTCTCTCTCGGAGCAGCCCCTCAAAAATGTAGGACTTCCCAGGTGTCCACCGAGGGGGGTTGGTCCTGAGCACTGCCAAGGGTGACATGAAGAGACCACTGCTGTGTGTTGCAGGATTTCCTTCCTGTTTGGGAGGGCATAGGCTTTTGGTGAGTCCCTTATTTCCAATAAAATTTTGCCCTTTCCCTGAATACTAATTCCCTAACTCTGGCCCCACATCCACCCCCTGATCCCCTAAGTCCCCAAATCTAGTGTGCCAGCTATGGGCTGTAAAGAAAGGAACCACAAGCACAAGTGAGAAGCTGAAGTGATTGTTTGTCCTCTTTAGCTTCATACGGAGGCTAGTAGGAAGGGAGGTATTTAAATTTCGTTTAACTGTTGTTTGAGATCATCTTAGATTCACAAGCAGAGAGTATAGAGATCTGAGGACACTTTGCCCGGCCTCCCACGTGATGACATATAGCATGACTAGCACTGCTTCACAGCTGTAGGGTCCAGATTATAAATCCTAACAGGATACTGTGGACTTGTGTGTGTGTGTGTGTGTGTGTGTGTGTGTGTGTGTGTGTGTGTAAAGGTCCGTGCAGCTGTGGGACTACTGACACAGGCAAGGTACCAAACCACTCATCACAAGGATTCTCTGTACTGACTGCTTGCAGTGGCTACTTCATTTGAGTATTTTGAATATGATCAGTTTTAAATACTCTGTTCTGATGCTCAGTTGCCTTGTGGCAGCTCTTTGTCTTACCAAACACACAGCAAGGCTGTGGGACAGATCTGGAAGAAATGTCCTGGCACCCATCTTTATCCTGTAGGCATTTCTGGGCCCTGGCCCTATATAGGCTGCTGAGGGGGGCTGAGAAATAGGGATCTGCCTTTGCCTTTCCCAAGGCTGTTAGCTCACTAGCCTCCTCCAGCTCCTTTCAGTACTGAGGTGCCATCCCCTGCCATACCCAAGGTCAAGTTTAGATGCTCCCATAGAGGCAAGTGGCAGAGTCTAAGATTTTGGTTGAACTTGGAATTCACATGAATCAGACTTCCTGCAGGACCAGCTGTCAGCCATCGCACCTCTGTTTCCGTAATAGAACCTGATTTACTGCTTGTCTAGAGGGTCCACATGGCTCTTCCATCAGTACACACCCTGTCAGTGCCCCCTTTTTGTAATTAGTATGTTTTACTATGAAGTCTATTGCTTCTGGGAATGGCTCTTGTCACACACAATACAGGACACAGAACTTTATAATAGTGAGCACTTCACACAGCCTAAAACATCACCACAACACAAGTTTGCTTGTGGGGAAATAACAGCCAGGGAGCTGAGTCCACCTGAGTTCTGCCACCTGCTATCTTTGAGGATGTTACCCAGTCTCAGTTCACCCGTAAGATGGGTGTTATACCTTCTTGCTCACCTTCCAAGATGAAATGAGGGAGCACATTGAAATCCACAGAGTGCCCACGATCTTAAGAGTTTAGCGCTGTGGACCAGGATCCTGTGGCATTTAAATATAGATGGTCTAAAAACTGCCTCAGGTCCTCTTGGAATTACTGTCATTTGCCATGGCTGGTTAGTTCCTGGGCAGTACTGCGGATCTTTGCCTGGTGGCTGTCTCCTTTGCCCCTCATACTTCCCTGAACATCCTTAATTCCTGTGACTTGCTCTTTCCCAAAACAGCAATGTGCACGTCTGATTACCTTGTGCCAGCCAATTTTCCCATTTACCTTTGACTTTTTGCTTCTCCTGTATTCCTACAGCCATGAGAGCAGAGGCTGTACCAATGAGTAGGGGAAGGTGTTTCAGATGGAGAGAATACAGACAACTGCTTTGGCCTTCTTGATGGGCAGCAAGAAGGCTGGTGCAGGAGTGCATAGTGACATGAGTTTTCATTTGAGAAGATAAGACGCCCAGCCATTACAGACTCAGTAAGGCCCTTCACCATCAGCATCATCAGTCGCACTACAAAGTTTATAGAATTAGGGTCTTGTAAGCACATTTTTTTGCAGCTGGCTTCCCACCTGTAACTTAACACCGTGGCAAATGTTTCTTCATATTATTAATATTCTTAAGAGATATTTTAAATAATGTATTCTTTCTCCTGTTTAAGCCATAATTAAATGAACATTGTATTTGGATTTTTTAAGTTTTTTCAATAAAACAGTCCTGTGGATACATTTAAGTTTACACACACAAATTTATATAACATATAGAGAGTATACAAAGATTCTTGGTTCCGTTAAATCAGTACAGAACTCTTATTACTTGTTTAGACAAATTAGTAGAAGTAAAATTACATGGAGACAGGCATGCACTGCTATTTTTCAGTGCTAGGAATCAAACCAAATGCTTCTTGTGATCTAGGCACATGCTTCCACCCTGAGCTGCGTCTCTAGCCTACTATGCACATTTTTAAGGGTTTTATATTATTCATCATATATTTCTCATCTCCCTCTTCCTGTTTCCATTTCTGGGCATTTTCTCATTCTTTTCTGATTGTTTAAGTGAAATGGTATTCCCATGTGTTAATATGTATTTCTTGAGTGATTCGTATGTTGAAAATTTCAATTTGTGTATCTAATTTGCCTGAGCTGCTTGTCCACAGGAAGTTTCTCCATCAGTTCAGGTAGTTTGAGAGGGACTAATGTGTAGTGTAGAATGGAACTGGTACCCTTTGCCTAGAGTAGCCTTTCCCCAGATATTAACCCAGAACTCTGGGATAGTGAGTATGTGAGGAGCATCTTGGTGTCCTGCTCTTCATGTATTGCCTGATCAGATTCTGCTAGGGATCACTGGACACAGTGTTTGAGCCTGTCTCCTCTGGTCTCCAGGATCTTATCACTGGCTAAGCTTGTTTTGGACTGCCATGGTGTTACAGGGACATACCCTTCCATGTGTTATGAAACAGTGGTGCGATAGAGCTTAGGCCAGGCCTCCCCATTGCGTAGCTGGGGAGACTTGCCTCCCATGGACCAGTTGAGAATTGCCTGGACATGGTTTGACTCACCTGTGTGTCAGCTACACCCTTTTAAGGTTCTGGTTTGTTATATTTGTGCGCATATGTGTTTAAACAGGTTCAGGGACTTGATTTGGGAAACCACATCCGGAAGAGACTCTTGTTAGTGATGCAAGATCAGGTGCTAGTCTTGGAGGGATGGATGGTGTCACTGTCCTCAGAAAGCTGACCTTTCTTGGAGTATGTGGCCTGGAGTGGCAAAACACAATGCAGCCAATCAGAGGAGTCGAGCCCTTTATTAGGACCCGGGTCATTTCAGATACAGAGTTAGATTTCTCCCAATTTTAGGGAAAGAAGAGTACTGGGGAGTAGCAAATGTAGCCCTTCAAGGTTTCAGAAGCTGTAATATCTGTCATTCAAGTGTAGAATTAGCACAAAAAGAGGCATCCTGGCCTTGTCTTTGAAGGGAGTTTAGAAGGACAGCAGAATGTGCCAGGTAGTTAGGTTTGTCCAGCTGGCTGTTTTCCTGGAAAAACCTCATGTTTATTGACTCCTTACTTTCTCTTGGCAAATTTTGATCATATTGTGAACCTGAGAGCCATAGGATATGCTGTGCTTACTTGCAACCCCACCGTCTTCTCCCCAGCACATACCTGAGCCTTGCTCTTAGGTTATCCTGGCCATGATGGAGGTGGAGAGGGGGGTGCGGACCAGAAATGGCGCAGTGTCATAGGTCATGTTCTAAAGCATCTCTTCATGTTTATTTAATACCCCTTCAATGTATATTTGCATGTTGGTACCAAATGTGGTTCTAAATGCAATGCCAGGAATAGTTCATT